AGAGGGGAGCGTGAGATTCGCCAGATCGTGCAGTCCATTTCTGACCTAAATGAGATCTTTAGGGACTTGGGAGCAATGATTGTAGAACAGGTACGTGAGTTTGCCTTCTTCATCAGTGGGTTTTCCTGCCATAACACCCGGTATTTCTCCAGACTTTTTTGATTCTGCACTCAGGAAAAATTTTGAACCTGTCTTCCAGAGTGAGTGAGAGAGAGTGTGTGTGTGTGTGTGTGTGCATGTTTGTACAAAAAATAATGTACATATACTGTTGTCAGTCCCTTAAAGGTATTCAGGTTTTGTTTTTTGGTTTGTTTTTTTTTTTTTTGGAGGGGAAGATAAAGAAATGTCATTACAAGTTCTCAAGTTCTCCTGTGCTTTGCCCACATCCAGGGGTCGCATTGGAACACCCTACTTTGGGGACCTGTGAGTCCTACCTACCCTCAGCAGGGGTTTTGGCGATAGATAAGATTTCCCTTCTGCTTTTGACAGGTTATTGTGTAATGCAGCTGGAACTGCTAGCTTTCAAGTAGAATTAAATTGTTTGTTCACTGTTAAAATCTGATTAGGGCATTTTATTATCTTGCCAGGAGGGATTTGGGTCCTGATCCCCCTGAAACCAGCTGCAGAATGGAGTGTTGAGGCTGTGGAAGATCTAGTTACATTAATTACTCCTGCGGCTCCCCGGGACCGCTCCTGCTATCTCAGACAGTGCCTTTCCACAAGGAGCCCTGTTCTCCCATAGAGCCCAGTGTCCCTTTTCTCTATTTGAACCAAGAAATTAAACAATTAAAAACAAAATTCTCCTCGAGGCAAACATTTAATTTTAGATGGTGCATTGGAGCTTACCATCTCTGCTCTGACCCTTGGAGACCTGTGCTGACGTTTATAGACTTGATAGCCAACACCCAGACCTAATCACAACCGGGCCTGGTGTGACTGGCGTGCTCTGCCTACTTGAATCCAAGTATCTAAGCAGCACCTGGACATAGAAGCTGGCCGTCTGCTGCTTAGAGCATATTTCCACTGAACCGTATTTTAAAGCCCCGGTAAGTCCAAATGTGGCATATCCTACAGTTGCTAAATCCAAAATAGAAGCCTCAGTTTGTTAGTATTTCTTTCTCATGAGCTAGACTTTATTGCAACTAACACAGCACTCTGCCATTGAGTGCCTTATATTGCTTGATGATGGATTCCAGAGCTTTCCGTGTGTACCTTTACAACACAGTTAAGTGAAACAGATAATCCTGTGGGTAATGATGTCTGCAATCTGCATATCTCATTTTTGAAGCTCAATTTTCCCGCTTGCAGCTATTGATGGCTTATAACTGTCACCTCTTACTCAGGGCACAGTCCTTGATAGGATTGACTATAACGTTGAGCAGTCCTGCATCAAAACTGAAGATGGCTTGAAGCAGCTTCACAAGGTAATATCTTTCAATAGTTGAGAATTTGGGGGCCTATTATCAAATACCAATGCTCATAAGAGGATTCTTGCGTCATAACTGCCTCCTGCTTCCTGCTTGTTGCCGACTCTCCGTCTCAGAGTGTGAAATGTATGACAGACGGTTTTACTCAAACCATGACATGGGTTGTTGCCATTTTATTCCAGTTAATGACTCCAGGGGCACCGCATGCCATTTGAGATTGCCGAGAACTCCCTTCCGTGACAATAAAGTCTGAAGGAGTAAAGGTTTTCCCCTTTAGAAAAGATTTCATCCCTCCTCAGCCTCCTTGCTTTAGATAATCAGTTGAATGGGCATTTGCTGAAATACTTGTTGAGCACTGTCTGTCTGTGCTGCCAACTCAGGCTTTTCTTGTTGTGACACATTTCTGATGAATTGCTACTGAAGGATCATTCTGAAGAAGATAAAAATCTAATTTTCCCTTTTAATTACCACAGTCATCCATTTGCTACCTTGAGAAGAGCGTAGTGTGTTGAAGTGAGAGTATTAGCTCTTATTCTTTGCTAATAAGGTGGCTATTTCAGGACTATTTTTCTTGATATTTGCTAAAAATTAAAGGAAAGCATCTTAGAAATCTTGTAATCAGTGATGAGAAGCATACATACGCTTGTAAATGTAATCGGGTGCGTGTTTTCTTTAAAAGGAATATGCTACTTGGCAATTAACATAGGTTTTGTCCATTTCCTTCCATTTTGAGTCCCCGTGGTATTTCTAGCTGTAGAGCAAGCATTTCCCTGTTCACCGAGTGCTGCCTGTGCTGCCTCGTCATTATTCTGAAGCCAGTTGTTCCCTGTGGCAGGTCTGATCCCACCCAGTGGTGTAAGGTCACCCAGGTGACACCCTGCACAGGTCCGGCCAGAGCCCTTCGCTTCCCTGTCCGCACGCGCAGGGCCTGGTGTGGGGGCCACTGAGGCGCCTGAGTGTGATGATAAAGAAAGGCTTGCCCTGTCCAGCGAAGGACTCTCAGCATCCAGAGTCACTTGAGCCCCAAGCCTGTATATTAAGAGTGAAAAATGAGGTGAGTTTCTCACTCCACGGCACCTAGGTTTTGATGTGCTGGTGAATGAGGCGCTGGCTTCGTGGTTTCTCGAATAAAAACGAGTGCACCGTGTTGTGTAATATTACACAGGTAAAGGGGAAGGCTTTCTCTGCTGGAGTGTGCAAGCGTAGTGGGAACTAAAAATTTTGTTTAGGTTCTACTTCTATAAATCAGGTTGAGAGGTTTTAAAGTATGTCGCTTAGCACTGGCTTCCCTGGTGTCCTGGGCTGCTGATGAGAGCCATGAGCGCGCTCTGCGTCTCTCTCGAGTCACAAGCCATGGGTGCGTGGCGGCCGTCCCGTCCCGTGCAGATGGTCGCTCTGTGCAAGCCACCCTCGAGCCAGGTTTCCCCTCGCTTGAAGAGTGGCTCCTGGTGGGTGTGGAGCTGAACTTGGGGAACAGAACCACCAGTCTGACAGTTGCTGGGGAACACGGGAACAGCGTGGACATTCCTAGCAGCTATATTCCAGGTTGTCTCCTCGTCCTTGCCTGTGACGCAGCCCCTGGAAAGGGCAGAGCGTGTTCTCCTCTGCTGCGGTTACAGACACCCCCAGACTCTCCTCTCCCCACTCTCTGCTCCAGGTTGGCCCCTGGCAGCACAGGGTCACCAAAGTTTGCACTGTTTGCAGGCGGCTGGGCTCCCGGTCGGCTGTGGAGAGCACAGGCCCTAGGGCTCTCTGCTGTCTGCGCTGTGTCCTCAGAGCGCAGGAGAACTCAGCCCGGGTTCTCTCCAGGATACGTGGCACCCCCGGGGCACTTGCCCTTTGTCTTTCCTAGAGTGAATTGTTTTTCCTGTCTCCACGTGCAGGGCAGATGGGAGCAAATGTCAGGCCAGAGCCCTGCGTCCTGGCCGTGGGCGTGGGCTTGGTTTTCTAGGGGAGGGGGTGTATTTTCATCCCAAGAACTGGGTCCAGAAACGAGAGGCTTCCCGCGAAAGGAGATGGGGTCCTCCCAGTCAGCCGCTGGAAGCATCACTAGGAGGAGGAGAAGCAGGCCTGCTGTCTCGGTCTTAGCAGCGGGTCCCGCGCCTGTTGCGTGCGCCCAGGGTGGGTTGCTACCGCGTGGGTGACTTCTCTGGCGCTGTTGGAAGCCATGGTGGTGCCGCCGCCAGTGGAGGCGCCGGTCCCACCGCGGAGTCAGGAGGCCGGGCTGTGGACGGTGGGGAAGTGACTGCCTTTTCCCTCCTCTCTCTGTAGGCAGAGCAGTATCAAAAGAAGAATCGGAAGATGCTTGTGATTTTAATATTATTTGTCCTCATCATTGTCCTCATTGTCATCCTCGTCGGCGTGAAGCACCGCTAGTGCCGTGGGGCTGCGCCTCGACCGTGGTGGGCCCGGCTGCCCGCAGGGGTGCAGCTGCCGTCGAGGGGGGCCGCCTCCCTGGACCCTCCTTGCAGCCGAGCTCCTCGCGGGGCGGGGCTCCTGTCTTTCCTCCACTGTCAAGAGCTTTGGGACTTTGGACTCCGCGGCAGAGGAGACGGAGTCGAGTCTGAGTCCCGACGCTCGTTAGAATGTGTCTCTTTCAGAAAGAGAAAGTGAGTTGAAGGTTTACAGACGCTCCGCAGTGTGTATGTGCTGTTCTTCGTAGCAGTCCTGTCTGAGTAGCGTGTTAAAGTAATTTTTGGAATTTTTTTTTTTTAAACCATATGGCTTATAAGAAATTTGGTACCAAAAATTTATGAGTAGAGGCAAAGCTGCCTCTTCAGCTTTCTCTCTGTATTTTCCAGTTGAAAACAGAGAAGTCCTTTAAGAATTTATAATCTGTTCCCCATTAACTTAATTTAGCCTTTCCATCACTGTTAATGATCAGAGTAACAAAGTGTGAAAAATACGAAACCATCTGATGAACACACTCAGCGGGGTCAGTTAGGACAGCGCCCTGAGTCCAGGTCCCTGGTGCGCGGAGTCTCCTCTTCTGCAGTCTGTGCACTGCGCTTTCTCCTGCAAACCAGAAGGGGTTACCCGGCAAAGCCACCAGATTTCAAAGTTGGTGATACAAACTAACCTCACTTTCTATTCAAAGGGAGTTCGGCAGCGTGGTGGAAGTTGCCAGAACCAGCCGGCGTGTCCGCTGCACTCACGCACAGCCATCCCTGCTCAGCCCATTACTCATACACTAACTGCATAATGACCTGCTCCAACCAGACACCATTTAATGAGCTGTGAATTTACACAGAGGCCATTCTAAATGGGTCACCCCATTCAGGATTAGTGAATCTCAAATTATTAACCAAACATCACTCCATTTCAGAGTAAAATATTCCACCGGTGGTTTGATTTATTGGCTCCTTCATTGCCACTTAACAGGCCCAGAAAGTAGGCCTGTCCCGCAGAGGGTGGAAGTCTTGACTAGGTAACCCCTCGTGTGTGAGTGTGAACCGGATTCCCACGGTGGGACGCTGTGGTTTCGTGCTTAGGGTCAGCGTGGTGCCTGAGTGTGCCCCAGAGCTGTCGGGTCACGTGGGAGGTAACGGTGGTGACTGAAAACTTGTTCACGTTTTCACCAGCCTGGAGGCACCAGTACAGTTTTAATGATCTCTGTATAATTTTTGATGGCTTTTCCCTAGTTTTTATCACTCTTAAAAAGTTTAAAAAGAACGTGACCTCATTAAATGTGCTCCATTTATTTTGGGCCAGTCACGTTGACTTTTAGGTGGTTTCCAAAAATTTACACTCCAGTCCAGAGATTTGACTTGTCCAAACAGATCATGTCCTCACACGCCCAGCCCTGGTTCTCCCTCCCTGCCCCAGTACAAGGCCAGGTGGCCACGGGGCTAGGGCGTGCGGGGTTCCAGGGTGTAGCATGGGGCTCCCTGACAAGCCCTTGCTAGGAACGTTTGGGGTACCTTCGTGGTCATCCTGAACCCTGGGGCGTGTGTAGGTCTGGGGAGCAACTGTAGGAGTCCTTCAGTCCCAGCGGATTAGAACTTGACAGTGGGGTCCACCAGCTGCTCTTCAGAGTGGGGCTCTTGGGCTTGGGGGGCTGCCCGCCGGATGGTCCTCGGTGGTGGTCAGACTGGCTTCTTGTTCAGGCTTTTCAAAAGCTCTATGGAAAGTGACCCTTTGAGAAAGGATCACCGTTTATTTATATTTATTTTCAGGGAGGAGGGACTAGGGTTGTTTTAGGGTGAAATAATGGGCCCAATTAGGAGGGGCTTCAAGGGTCTTGTGGGATGGGGGAACCAGTCTATGCAGCTATCTGCTGCTGGGGCTCCCTGCAGGGGCCTGTGCCCCAAATTGCGGGGCTTCACTAAACGCTGTATTTTTCTCTTGAGGCTTTACTTGGGGAAGGAGCGCAGCGCGGGGGGGAGTCAGAGAAAGAGGATTCATTGTGTCCAGGTAGCTCAGGGTAACCCCTCTCTTGACCTGCTGACCGCCAACGCCTGTGCTGGCTGCCTCTAGGGCTCCCCCCGTGCCTAGGAGGGGTCCCGAGAAGAAGGCAAGCGAGGCAGGCTCCTTCTGGGGCCCCTGGTGTGTTCTGGGGTGGCTCTGTGTATCGGGGCAGGGAGGAGAAATGTGAATGTTTCCTGTCAGACCCCCAAAGCGCCTGATCTTTCCCGAGATTGTAACTGAAATCTGCTGTCTCTGGTTTTATTAATTTCGGGGTTGGGGGGGAGGTGCTGGCTTCACCATGGGCGTGAGGCCGTGTGTGTGTCTCTAATTTAACGGATTTACCGCTTTCTCCGCTAATTGAGAGAGCATTATTTATTTGTTTTGACACAAGTGCTTTCAGTGTTTTTTCCAGCTAATGGCTTCTTAAAGGTAATAAAACCCTTCCAACCTAATTGGTCAGATAAGACTTTTTTTCTTGTGTGCTTAAATAAAGCAATTAGTGAAGCGCTTCTATCCAAAATGACTTTTTTTGTCCTTTTCTAAAACTAATTTACTGTTACTGGAAACTTTTTGTACAATAAAGCAGTCGTGCACATTAAAGAACACCCTGCAGTCCGAGTCCTCATTTCACGCCGGGTCTGTGGCGGGAGGGCCTGGCCGCTCCGCCGTCGTCGGTGGGGCCGAGCGAGGGTGCCGGGTTTGTGCCCGAGGCCTTTGCCTGCACGTCTGGAAGCCCATCTGTCTGCTAATGGACGCCTGCAAAGGGCCGGTCTGCGTGACCACCGGGGAACTGCCGTGGGGCAACACTTAACTTGTCTGATGAGCTGTGTGCGTTCCAGATCTGCTCAGAAAAGGGGGGAGGGTGTGCCCTGCCGTACGTGAGGCTTCAGGAGATGTGAATATCTAACCGAACGTTGCTCGCCTGTCACCCCCAAGCGTCCTCGGGGGTGACAGTCGAACCCCGAGCCATTTCCCCTTGAACGTGTCTGTGCCCAGGCTCGCCCTCCAAGGCCGGCCGGGGTGGTTTTGTTAGGAGTGTGGTGTGTGGAGTCGCACCCGTCTGTGCGAGGGCGGGAAGCTTTGTGTTCTGTCAAGGACGTGTATAAAGATTGGGGCCCTGGCAGGCTGCGCGGCCGCTGCCGCATGGCATGTCGGCTCCAAAGCCCGTCGGCCCCGGAAGCAGCCTCCTCTTACTGTGCCTATTGGTTTTTGACCAGAAGTTCCATTCCCCCTGACCTTGCTCATCAGCCATCGGTTGTGTCCAAGAATCAAATCCACTTTGTACAAGACATTTGCCAGAGACTTGCAGAACTTTCTGACCAGGACGCATAGCATTGAGGAAGTGCTCCCCCGACAGGGAAACTTACAAGTGGCGACATGGGTGAGGGGTGACCTTGGGTTCTTCACTTGAGTTTTACATGGCCCACTCGTGCAGTGGAGCCCCGAGTGTCTGCAGACCTGGCGGGAAGCGTTGCCTGTTGAACAGGGAACAAGACCTGGGGAGCTTTAAGGCACCCGGAAGTGTGAGCCGTTCGGGTCTTGAATACCCGCGTGGACTGTGCGCGGACAGGCTGGCGGAACTGTCCCCTGGATAACGGACGATGTTCCAGAACACTCACCCCGCCCCACCGTTTGAGCCGCGGACAAGTCTGCTGTGTCTGACGTGGTTGGGTACCCGTGGCAGAACAGCTCACCTGGCTACGCGCCAGTTGTAGGCTGAGCGTCATGCTACCTGCTGCCTGAACGTTGTCGAGCCCCTTATTCTAGTCAAGACAGACTTGTGGGGACAGAGAAAGCTGCTAACACGTCCTCCCAGGTGCCCAGCGGCTAGAGAGGCGAGGACACCCTGAAGATGGCCGCTCTTGGCTGATTACCCTAAGCTTCCGTTTCTTCTGAGATTGAGGTAGGCAGACTTGTCTCATTGGATGGTATCCACATTTTGAAACGTACCGTGGCACCCCTATTTCTGCATGGGCCCCAAGTTGTTTATCCCCTGTGCCTTAGCCCTGAAGCACTTTTACTTTCTCTCTCCGCGTTCCCTTGACCTCCCAGACGCCCGATGTGCCTGTTTAGTTTTATTTTGAAATTGAGGGAAAACAGCCCCCTTCAAAACGATGGGTCTGAGAGTGAACCCACCCGGATGTGGGGTGGGCAGGGGCCTCCAGCCCCTCTGAGGGTCCCCTGAGTACATCTTTGGGGTCAGATGTGGGGCCTCTGTGCTTCTCGTCCCACCTCCATGCCCCGCTGGACGCCGGGGCCCCCAGTCTGCACCGGGCCTCCTTAGCACACAAAGGATGTGGCAGAGTCAGACGCAGAGACGGCACCATTACCTGGTCACTTGAGGCAGGAGAACAGAAGCATTTGTCCAATTATCCAAATTAGCTTTCTGGACTGTCCCGAATGCCGAGGATAATTGTGGGGGCCTCGACTCCAGCTCCGTAATCTGGCCAGAATGAACCATTTAAATGAGACGCCATTCGACACGATGGTCATTTAAATCGGGGGTAGTTAAAATAATCCACTGGGTTTAATGTTTTCTGTTTGTCAACTGTTATTCTAAAATTGCTTTTAGCTAATCATCCAAATTCCGCCATTAGTAATTACGATTTCTCTCATTTTATAGATCTCGTAATGGAGGCAAAGGGCCCTGGTCGGCATCATTTGGCCCATTTTCCTCAGAGGAAGTGCTGAGGGAATCAAATGTCTCTTCACTTGGTGTTCGGACTCGGGTCATAACAGACCTCCCTTATCATCAAATGTTGGGGGGAGGGAGCGTTGCCTCCCCCGGCCCAAATCGTCCCTTTTCCAGATGGGGGAACTGAGACCAGAGGGCTTAGCGGGGTCACACAACTAGTGTAGTCTAGTGTAACCAGACTCTGGCTGGGACCAGAGTCTTCCACGTCCCCGCTTCCAGAACCGTCCCATTTCTGCTTATGCCATTTTAATTGTTCATTTCTTTCCATAAAATTAAATGACCTTCTTTAAGAAAGATTTAATGGTCAAATGCGATTTGGTAACAGCTTCCTCAAGGATTTTTTTCTTATTACGAAGCTTAGTCCAGACTGAGGCTAAGAGAGATTTGCAAACAGTGGTTTGTCATTATCCCGAGTTCAGTTTTTCGTGTAATTGGTGTGAAGAGATTGCTGCTGGTGACCAAGCCCACCGCAGAACAGAAAATAATGACTCTTGTGACCCGCCTCAGTGTGCGTGCGTGTGTATTTGCGGTTGTTTATGAAAGGTCTTCGTACCCGTACGACGCTTACCAAGATGGATAACGTCATCTGAAAAGTTGTAAATAATAAAAAATGGTTTTGAGCAAAACCACTTTTACAATTGCCCGAGAATGTAGCACTTCATTTCCACGCTATGCAATGGCTAGAAATTGATTTTTTTTTAAATCCAATTAAGCCTCAAGGTTGGTTATCCATTTAAAAGGTCGGCTGAGTTAAACAATGACAGCACCTTGAGTCCCTGCTAATAATTAAATCCACACACAACTCGCGCCGCAGTCGTGGGGGTGGAGACACGCGGGGCCGGCTGAGGCCACAGCGCAGCAGCCCCGACATGGGGGTCCAGGCGCGGCCCCGGCCCTGGCCCATGCCCCCCGACTTCTGCACTGCACCCCAGAGCGCTGTTCCCTGCTCCCCTGCTGTCCTCCCTTCTCCAGGGAATGGAGAGTAGCCGCTCCTTGTAAGAAAAAGGTGGGGGGGGGTGTCTGTGTCCTAGCTTGGCCTCGCGTGCTGCTGAGTTTAGAATGTGATAAATCATGTCTTTGTGGTGCGTGTTTACTGTGGGGGGCCCATGTCTCTAGGAGAAGCCTCCGGAATGCCTTTTTACAGTCCTCGTAGGTAATGCTGAAGTATTTCTGAATTTACGAAGATGTGAGGAGAACCGCCCACCCGACTGGAATGCTTTTTACTCCGTTGGGGTGAAATGTCACTGGACTTGTGTAAATCACTGAGAAGGAGCAAGTGATCTTGTTTCAAATCTAGCATTTTTATCCTGCCACCTCAGGTGGCCACCCCAGCTGTGAGCTTGCGCCGGGAGGGCCTGCCAGGTCCGGGAGGAAAACATGAATTTCCTTCTCCGGGCCCTTAAAAAAAACTAACAATTTCTGATCAGTTTTTCCTTCCCTCACCCTCTCCTCATGCTGCCCAGGGACCACAGTCCTCAGCAAACAGGTGTATGAATCCTTTCCACGTCTTAAAAAGATCTACATTTAGATAGGGCGGACATGTTGCTTTACACGGGGCTGCTTCTGGAATAACCATGACTTGGGCTTTGGAAGATGGAGTCATTTTGCACTAGGGGAACAGGCTGCCTAAAGGAGCCCACGAGAAGTTTTTCCTGAAGAAAAGGCTTCCTCATCTAAATAAATATTAAGCCCCTGATTTTGCTTCCCCGCACATTCCGAGTTCATCCGCCGGGCCCGCTTCAAGGCCTGCGCGACCACATTTGGTCTGTTAATTATTTCTCTTCTCCTTCCTGCAGCCAGCCCCGCCCCAGGCACCGTCTTCATGGTACCCTTGGAAACTTGTGCAAGAACAAAAACAATTTTTCTGGTGTTCAGAAGTAGATGGGAATTTAGTTCCCGAGACATGAGGGTTATTACTCTCTGACACGGCGCCCTTCCTGGGAGGATAATTTAGACTGCTCGAGTGGCAAGGGACCCCAGGAGCCACTCGCTCGGCACCCTCATTGTAGCGAGAAGTCCTCAAAACTGATGTTAGGGGGAACGTTTTCTGTTGGTAATAAATGGCTTCACTAGTACATTTTTATTGTTACCACAGTCTCATCCCCCTGATGTCGGGAGGTAAAATCAGTGCTTCGACGACATTCCAAAATGTGCTTTTTAAGCAGAGTGCAAAGATGACACACAACAGGCTCTCTCGGAAAGGAGGTGGAAGGGATAGTCTTTGAACACTGCTTTTGTAGTTCTGATGTTTGAGCCCCATAAACGCTTCACCCGTTTGAAAGAGGAACTTCCGAAGGGAGAAAAGAAAATGGCGCATCTTACCGGGGCGCGGGAAGCAGAGACCGGGGTCCGATGGACGACGCTAGTCGAGTGGGCGTGGAGTGTGTCCGCGGGACACGCTGTCGACACAGGGAAGGCGTCTTCGGCTTCTGTAAAGGGTTTGTGGTCAGCGTGGAGGTGACGGCGCCGCCGGGGGAGCCACCCTCAGCCCGCACGGGGCGACGGGCAGCAGGGCCCCCGCTGCGGGAGAAGGACTCGCAGGGATGCTGGAGGGACCCGCCGGGGGCACCCTGTCGTGCTCGGGCTTGACGGGAGGAATCAGGGTGAACTCGTGACACTAAAAATCAAGCCGAGCTTCGTCCTCTGAAAGGGCCGGAAACAGTGGCGCCGGCGGGCCTGGGCCCCTGCACAGCTCTGGGCTTCTCTGTGGGAAGCGTTTGCTTTCTCAGGCACCCCCTCCTCTGGCGCCACCCCCAGAGGAGACAGGGTTCCTTGGGGAAGTGGCTGACTCGCGTTCAGGGGAGGAAGGGACGGTGTGAGCCTGGGGTCGTCTGGCTGTTTCAGAGAGGACCAGAGTTCTCAAAACCCGACGGGAGCGTGTGGGAAAGGCAGGAGCATGCGGGGCTCTTGTGGCGTATATGGGGACCCTGGGGGCAGTGACGCGCACACGCGCACACGCTGCGGGGCCAGGCAGCCCTGGGCATGCATTTTGGGGGCCACAGCCCCGGCGAGCTTAGGCCCTGCCTGCCATCTTGATGCGCTGTTTTGAGAAAGCCCCTCCTGTGTGCTCTGTGCGCACTTTCGGGGCCCAAAAGCGATGTGGCGGGCCCTGGGGTGGCCGCGAGATGTCTTTACTCGAGGGCACCAGGGCGCGGGCGTAGGAGACGCCACGGGGCGAGGACAGCACCACGCCTGCCAGTGCCGGGCTCGGGCCCAGGTCTTCACGGGGTGGGGGAGCCGCGGGGAGAGCTCGCAGGCCACAGCGCCCTCAGCCTCCATGTCCACAGCGGCACGAGGACAAAACGGACATGAGGTCTGTGCCTTCCAAGGGGGGGTGGACCTGCACCCGGAAGAGACCTGCAGACCCCGCTTCCGCCACGTGCCCAACCTTGGGCAACAGCGGAGACACGGGTGGTGGCGGCGCGAGCGCCTGTGTTGTACCAGACACGCTCCCCCTGTATCTAATCGTGAGGAAGCAGCAGCCCAGACAGTGGGCCGTCTGGAGCCACAGCCGCTTCGGGAGGGACAAAGGCAGGCTCTGTTCCGGATTAAAGGAGCCGAGACCTGACAACCAGCCCCAAGGCCTAATCCTCGCTGGGAGTCTGCATTTACAAAGAAAAAGCCATGAAGGACATTTGGGGGACAAATGCCTCAGATCGTATTAAAGGCGTCAGGTCGTATCCACTGGGCCAGAGTGTTGTTTCTGCGTGAGGTTCCCACGGCTCGATCGGGGCTCTAGTGGGACGCCGGGCGCGAGCTTCTCTGCACCTTAGAGAAACGCTGAGGTGTGTCAGGGTAAGGGCAGCCACCATCGGTGGGGCAGGAAACACAGGGGTGTGTGTGAGGGGGGGGGACACGCAGATACATCTGTGCAATCAAGTAAAGGGTGGGCTGTGTTTATTGTACTGGATTTTCAACTTTTCCACAAGTCAGTGAAATTTTCACCGAAGTTTCTGGAGAAATGTGATTTTCATGGCAGTTTCTCCACTTTTCACTCCTTCCGGGGGCATTGAGTGTAAAGCTGGGTGGCGTGTCTGGTGCAGTGTTTACAACATGTAACTGGACTCCTGAGGTCCAGTGGGGAGCAGGGGACGTCACACAGTGCAGATGCCTTCCACAAGGAGGGGGCCACGCCGTGGACCTGGGGTGGGCGGGCGCGGCTGTGGAGGGAGGTGCCGGGAGCGGGCCTCACTCTCAACCACGAACATGTCCTCTATTCCGTTAGTCTCACTGAGGCACGTCCACCTGTGGCTTGCCCACGAGGCCGAGTCCATCCCGTGCTCGCTGTACATGCAGCCACTCAAGTTTTTGCCAATTCTGGGAGGGACCGTGCCCATCAGGACTTCAGGCCTTTGTGTAAACAGTGCCTGGCCCCGGGTCTGCCTGCCTGGCTCGCCTCGGCCGGCCCTCGGGATCTAGCTCGAACATCCCATCTAAACTCAGTGTCCTCCCGCTGGCTGCATTTCTGGGCTGTATTGTTTTTTGTTTATTTGTTTTTTAAAGATTTATTTATTTATGCATACAAGAGCTGGGGTACAGGCCAGAGGTGCGCGGGGTAAGAAGATTCACCAGAGACGGAGTGGGGAGCAGAACAGGCGGTTCTCCTGAAATACACTGCTGAGGGGAGTAGCGGGGAGACGGGAGAGGTCTGCTGTACCCTGTGGGTAGCTCCCTGGCTGGGGATCGAACTCATGCTGTAGTGGCTGCTGATAGCTTCATAGTGCTGTGTTTGACCCCTTGCGCCACCAGGGAGGCCCTGTACTATTGTTTGACCCCTAGCCCTGTGTGTCTGTACAAGCACACACCCACTGTGCCCCAATCAGGCCCGCCCCAGGGCTTTTCAGTGCTCATTGCCCCTCAATCTGTGTTGAGCAAATGAATGAAAACACCAGAGGGTGGAGCGAGTGCTCCAAGGGTCGGGTTTCCTTCTCACCTGAGACAAGGGACCTGCTGCCCCGCAGCCAGGGGTGTGGGCAGAGTCCAGGGGCTGGGCCGCTGAGCTCGGGCCCTGGTCACCCTGGAAACAAGCATTTCACACACCAAGGCCATTTTACATGATAAGATTTCAGAAATGTGTTCTAGAATGTGAACTGTACCCAAAAATGCTTCCTAATAAGCCCTGGGAATTTTATTCTGATTTCTTCCAGAAGTTTTTAGTCTTTTCCTCAACTCCTAAATTAAGTCTGAACACCCTGTTGAGTTTGGAATGAATCTCGAGTCATGAAAAACATAAATGACTTCTGGGGTTGCACTAAAGATCTGGTAAGTTGTTTTAAATTTTCATTTTTTTTTTTTTAAAGAAAATTAAATGAAGGTGAATTTTTCATTGACAGTGAAATATACACTGAGCTGTGGATTAATGCCTTCATAAAAATTTATCTAAACAAAGTGCTGCCTGTCTTATTTATGTTGACGTCTGTAAAGTCTTCAGCGAAAGGGGAAAGCACTTTCCTGGAATTTATTTGTATCTGTCACGAGCTGCATCTTGAGGAAATTGGCAGGCATTTCAAGTGGAGTAATTCCTCCGTGTTCTGTTCAGTTTGGATGTCTTTGATTCAGAGGTGGCTGGAAACCAGAATCAAGACTGTCTACTTCTAACAAGCATCTAACATTTCCTCCTGCTTGGTGTATAATAAATGTTTAATAAATGCTGGTGGAATCGAATCGTTTTGTTCATCTTTTCTTGGGGACCATGGGGTCATTCACTGTATTCTTAAAGGGGGACAATTCCAAAAGCGGGGGTCACCAAGATGATCTCTGCTCACCAGACAGCTGCTCTCCCCTTCCAGTCCCTGAACACACCGCTGCCCGCCCTGCCGGGCCACATGCTCTTGGGCCCTCCCCCCCAGTCTGCCAGTCTGTGGAGTCCACCGTCCTCACCCTTCCCCCTTAGCCCCTGGAACCTTCTGTCCTTGCACGCCGGTCTCAGGACACTAGGTCTGTGTTTCCTTCCAGGGCCTCCCTGCCCGCGGGCCTGCTCCTGTCCTGTTGGCCAGGGGCCCGAGGGGTTCTGTTGGCTTCCATCCCCTCCCCCACCTGGCCCTGCGCCGGCCTCGCCGGGCCTGGCCGCCGGCAGTGTATTTGCAAACAGAACAGAGTGATAGATCTCTGTACGTGCGCTTCTACCCTTTGCAGACGCGTGAAAACATTCAGCTGCTGCAACATCTTTTGAAGAAAATATGATCCAATTAGAGTCGACTTTTATGGCAGGAAAGCTGAGGGGTCCGAAGGAATTCCTTTCACTCACTCAACAACTGTCTTCAGAGCCAGCTCTGCACCAGGCCCCACAGAAGAGCCGCCTGGGGCTGCCGCAGCCCCTTCTCCTGGGACGTTCATCCGCCCGTGGGGCGCGGGCAGGGAGGGGGGTGTGTGCTGGGGGGGCATGCCCAGAGATCAGCGCGCTCTGGGGAGCTGGCTTTGCTGGTGTGGAGGCCGAGAGAGAAGAGGAAGCTGGATGGGAGGGCGCCCACGGCCCACCAGGGCCCTTGAGCAATCAGGATGTGGTGACACCTTTTTATTTTTAAATGAGTCCTGCAGGGCTTCCTCAGCAGGAGGGTCATCCCCCAGCCTTGTGTCCCAGCCACAGCAGGGCCAGGGTCCTTGCCAGGGGGCCCTTGCCAGCGGCACCCCTCCACCTTCATCGGGACCCCCACCCATGCCGCCCCCTTTGGCCTTTCCCCTCACCGACAGGAACCGGGCCCTCTCTCGTGCACCCCCGGCTGCCCCCCTCTCTCCCTCGGGTGGGGGGCAGCTGCTCAGACTCGCCACACTGTGCTCCCTACACAGGGGTGGGCTGGGAAACGCCCCACTGGACCCCGGGGGGCCGGGTGTGCAGTCTGCTGTCCTCCGAGCAGCGGCCTCTTCTCTGGCGCCCCTCATGCCTGCGAATAGGGGGGTCTGATGAATGTGGGGGAGCCCTTCAAGTGAGGGGCACAGCCCGCTGGCACCGCCCCTGCCCCCCCGGGAGGGGGCCCCACAGACCCGAGCTGGCGCGGCCCCAGGAGCGGCCCAGCCGAGCCAGACTTGGGGGGGCGAGCAAGGGCGGCCGGGCCGGTCGGGGTGCAGAGACCCGGGGCCCGCGGGCTGCCAGAGGCCCGGGGCGGGGGCGCTGCCGGGCCGCGAGCTGGTGGCACCTGCCGGGCCGGGCCTGCTGCCCCGCGGCCTCCGCGGCCTCCCCCGAGGGCGGGCCCGGGCGCGGCCTCCCCGCCGGCCGCCCGCCCGCGCCGGAGCCGCCGCGCCGGGCCGGGCCGGGCCGGGCCGGGCCTGCGCGCTCGCGGCCTCCGGGCCGGGCCTGCTCGCCGGCCGCCCGCGCCCGCCCGGGCCTGCCCCGCCGCGCCCGCGCCCCCTCGCGCCCGGGCGGCCCTGCACGTCTCGCGAGCGGCCCGGGCGGGGAGGCGGGGCCGGGCCGGGCCGCGCGGGGCCGGGCGGGCGCCGGCGGGAAGATGGCGAGCGCCGGGCTGCAGTTCCAGGCGAGCGCCGGGGACGCGGACCCGCAGAGCCGGCCGCTGCTGCTGCTCGGGCAGCTGCCCCACCTGCGCCGCCTGCCCTGGAGCCACGTCCGCGGGAAGCTGCAGCCGCGGGTCACCGAGGAGGTGAGCGCGGGCGGCGCGGGCGCGGCCAGGCCCGCGGCTCCTCGGGCGGCGCCAGCGGCGGGCCCGCTCCCCGGCGCGCCCTCCCCGCGGCCCCAGGCCCGGCCCGCCCCCGCCCCCGCCCCCCGCGCCCCCCCGCGCCCCCCGCCGCCCCCCGCCGCCCCCCGCCCGGCCGTCCACGCGAGCGACGCGCACCCTCGACGGCCCCGCCGCCGGGCGAGGCCCCGCCCGCCGCGCCTCTCAAGGGGGGTCGCCTCTTGTCTCCCCGCCCCAGCTCTGGCAGGCGGCCCTAAGCACGCTGAACCCCAACCCCACGGACAGCTGCCCCCTCTACCTGAACTGCGCCACGGTGGCCGCCCTGCCCTCGCGGGTGAGCCGGCACAACAGCCCCTCGGCCGCGCACTTCATCACCCGGCTGGTGCGGACCTGCCTGCCCCCGGGGCCCATCGGTGCATCCTGGTGAGTCCCCGGGGCGCCCCGGGCGCGGCCGGGGCTGGGCTGCAGGTGGGCCAGGGCCCCGCCCCGCCAGGCAGCCCGGCGCCGGCTCGGGACACCCGCCTGGCGAAAGTTCTGGAAGCCTCCCTGGTACTGACACCGAGAGACGACCCAGCGCTAGAGCTGGCACCAGCCTGCTGCTCGCCAGGCAGGCCTCGCGCCAGAACTGAAGCCGACCCGTAGCCGTCCTGGGGGCCGCGCTGGGGCCGGTGCCGGTGCCTGGTCTCGGGCCTTGTGGACCGCAGAGCCCTCCGGCCCGGGGTGGCTCAGAGTTGGGCGGCACCCCACAACGGGGCCTTGTGACCTCTGCTCTCAGAGGGGCACCCAGGTCCCAGAGGCCACACCGTTCACTCCAGTCGGGTCTGGTGGCAAATCTGACCCAGACCCAGATTGCCCGAGCCCACGTGTGCTCTTCACTGCGCCGGTCTTGGGGGCAATAACAAGGTCCAGTGGCTGCCGCCCCTGCCTCAGGCAGCGAGGCTGGCGGGGTAGCCGCCGGCTCACAGCTATGTTGGGCCCCTCTGTCCAGGGTGTACCCTTGAGGCCCCACGCTCCCCCCAGCCCCGAGGTCGCTTGTGTCCGGCCCTCCCTGCCCGCCTCACGCCCTCCCCCTGTGCTGCAGATGGCCTGTGAGCAGTCGGATGCCTTCGCCTCTGCTTGTGCCCTGGCCCGGGCCTTCCCGCTGTTCACCCACCGCTCAGGGACCTCCCGGCGCTCGGAGAAGAAGACCGTCGTGGTGGAGTTCTTCCTGGTGGGGCAAGACAACGGGCCCGTGGAGGTGTCCACTCTGCAAGTGGGTGTCCCAGGGTCCCCAGGAGCTCGTGGCAGCATGGCCAGGGGAGGGGTCTGGCTCTTGCTTCCCGGGAGGGCGGGAGGGTGGGTGATGTCATTCCAGAGAAGGCCGGGGCCCCCCTCCGCGGTCTTGACTTCCGGGATCTGGTTCTGCTCAGCGGCGTTGGCTGCACGGCGAAGCCGAGCCGTGCGCCCACGTCCACAGCTGAGACCCGCCGCTCCCAGGCGTCACACCCCACACTTTCCCACGCGGTACCCGCCTGCCCTGCACAGTCGTCCTTCCGAGCCCAGGCTGTTGGTGATCCCCAACTTCCAAGTCCTCGCAAGGCTGGGTGTCGGGCTCCTGTCCCTGCGGTGGCCACCCCAGACCCGGCCTGCCCTTCTCCTGCTTCCCCTCCCTGCTGTCTTGGGAGCGCGCACCTGGTGGCTTGGTCCAGCGTCTCCTGGGGGGGAGGGATGCTGCCTGCACCCTCGAGAGCTGCTCCCCGGCTCTTTTCTCCACATCTCCAAACCTTCCCCACGCAGCCCCATTGCTTCAACTCCCTCCTCCCCACATCCCACCAAATCAAGTTTCCGCCCCTCCCGACGGTCTGCGGAACCTGGACTTTTACTGTCCCTCCTTGCCTGTCTCTTCGGCTGCTGCTGCACCCCAGGCCCTGCTCTTTCCCGGTGGGTGGCATGCCTGTCCCTCTTCTCCGGCTAGCATCGGCACCCCAGGGCTCGCGCCTCTGGCTCCATCATCACCAGGGCAGGAGTGGGGACTGGAAACCTGAGCATCTCCCAGGGCTACCCCCATGTTGCCCTCCTGCCTCCTGCCTGGCCTCTTCCCCTTCTTCCAGCCAGAGTCCAGTTCTTGCCTCCCTTGGCCTTGCCCGCCTCTGCCCTGCCTTCCTGTTCCTGGCCTGCCTCGTCTTGATCCAGCTTCTTGCTACCTGGCTTCTCCGGAGGCCTGCCTGTTTGCCCTGGGCTTGTACATCTCTGTTCCGCTTGTGCCCCTGCGGGGCTGGAGGCTCGGGGGTCAGGGACCTGGTCTCCTACGTGACGGCCCGTGACGAGGGCCAGTCGTCTGTGCATCTCCATCCCCCACTACCTCTGGCCACTGCGGGGACCCCGCCTAGGCCCCTGCTGCTGCCCGGACTCTGCGGTACCTTCCTCGCTGGGCCTGCCACCTTCCAACACCGCCTGCCTGCCCCCCGCTTCCCACCCCCTGACAAAAGCAAGCCTGGCCTTGTGAGTGGCTCCCTCGTGCCCAAAGGGGCCCAGGCACGGCTGTGCACATGGGCGGGGGTTTGACTCACAGTCACCCCGAGACGGGCCCTGCTGTCCCAGGGCAGAGCCGGGGCCTGGCCGGGGCCGCCCAGCGCGGGGCCGCAGCAGCCTCCCCCGTGCGGCACTAGGCGCGGGTGCTAACTCTGTGAGGCCTGGTCCTCCCTCTTGCCCTCCTCTCCGGGGTGTTGTGAGTCTGCTGTTGTGAGCTCCTTGGCATCTTTGGGGTCCCGGGCAGGGCACTGATGCACCATGGGTGCTCACGTGGGTGAGCGGCGTGAACAGCCACTGAGCCTGCTTTAGTGAGGGGAGACAGGTGTGACGAGGTGCACCCCAGCCCCGCAGCTCTACAGGGGTGGAGGGACTCTGGGCCCTCCTTGGGCCGCCCCTCACCCCAGCCGCGCCACAGAGGAGCACTGAGCTCACCCCAGGTGTGTCCAGCGCCTGGCCTCCTCGGGGACAAGTCCCCGGCCACTGACGCACGCCCAGACAGCAGCCACGGCTGCGTCAGAGATGAGCAATGGGTGTCTGCGACTCCCACAGACGGGGACCCTCGCCTCCCGGAGGAGCCCGCTGACAGGCGGGCCTGGCCACCCGGGCTCAGCTCGTGGATGAGCTGTCAAGCCTGGGTCTCTGCCTCGGAGGCGTTGGGGTTTAATTACCTCGGGACAGGCAGAGGCGCGCCGCGGCCCTCGCCGGAGGTGGCCGGGCCGGCGTATCGACCCGCGCTGCCCTCCCTGACACGCGCGGCTGGGAGAGGCGATGATGAACGTGACGCTGTCTGCACCCCCGCTGTACCGGCGCTGCTGTTCTCTTTCAATATTGCCTCTGCCCCGCGCGCGGGAGAGGCCACCGGCCTCCTGTCTGAAGCTCCGAGACCCGGGGGTGGGTGACGGGATGAGGTGGGGCGGGAGGCACCGCTGGTCCAGCTGAGAGCAGGGCGCTGTGGGCATAAACGAGGCAGAGACAGACGAGAAAGCAGAGTCTGGGGCCCCCGCCCGGGCAGCGGAGGACGCGGCTCCTTAGGGAGTCCCCGTTAGGTGCCAGGGTCCAGGACAGCGTGACCTCTGGTGCACACCCCCGTGAGAGGCGTCCTCGTGTGCACTGCCCACCACGTCAGCCCCCCCCGGGTGCCCAGCAGACTGTGGGCTGCACGAGGCAGGGTCGTGTGAGTGACCAGAGTCGGGGTGGCGTGACACACGCAGAGGCTCTCCCCAGCAATGGGGGCCATGGGGGGGGCACCAGCAGACCCAGGGCTCAGGTGCAGGGTTTTTTCATTTGTTGGGAGGGTCCAGAGAAGCTTCTGGAGGTGGTGGTTTGAGAAGTGTCTCAGACCGCCCGGATGGTGCGGTCACCCAGTTCCCTTTGGCGGTGTGTGGGGGGCGCTTGAATGACAGACGTCGTGGAGGCTGAGAGTGGAGGTGGGGTGGGTCCTGGGAGGACTCTGTCCAGCCTGTCCTCCACGGGGAAGGAGACCCGACTCCCACCTCCACCTCTACGGAGGACACTAATCCCAGTGCCCCATCCTCCTGCCTCATCTAGCCCTCCTCACCCCCAAGGCCTCCTAATACTGTCACGGGGGGGCGGGGCTTCAGCATGAGCGTTCAGGGAGGGGACACAGCATTTCAGTCCCTAACGAGGGTAACATGGCCCCAGGGAGGGCGTGGGGGCAGCAGAGGCCAGGGATAGGAATCTCCTGCGCTTTCAGGCCCAGCCCGAGAGCCTCCTGCGCTGGGGCGGGAGCGTGTTGGGGGGTGAGGTTTGGAAGGAAGGCGTCTCTGCTCCTTCTAGGTCCTGGCGTGAGGCCGTGGGCCCCTGTGCAATTCTGGGGGCAGAGCTGAGCTGGGTTTCTGTGTTCTCTGGGAGGTCGTAGGTGCTGGGGACGAGAGCGGGTGGCAGCTACCATCCTGTCAGCAGCCCCCAAACCTCGCCTGGTGGTGTGTGCCTCTGGGTCCCGGGGGAGGGGAGCAGAGGGCCCCAGTGATGACCTTTTGCTTTTTCCCTAGTGCTTGGTGAATGCCACGGAAGGCGTGCGGCTGGCGGCACGCATAGTGGACACGCCGTGCAACGAGATGAACACGGACACCTTCCTAGAGGTTCGTGGCCCTGCCAGGGCAGAGCAGGCTGGGCGGGGGTCGGCAGAGCCCAGGGACGACCAGGGGGTCAGCGTCCATGTGCCAGCACTTGGCCTGGGGCCGCTGCCGATGAAGTCCTGCCATCCACCCTGCTCCAAGGGCTGCGGGCCCTGGCGGGGGTGGGGCTGCCCCGGGCCCCCGCTGTGGGGCTCTGGCCATGAGCTGCAGGAAATTACAGGGCTTGGGGGGTTTGCTCATGCTCAGAGCTGAGAGTCGGGGCTCCACGCCTGAGGCAGCTCTTCCCAGCGTCCGGGGCAGCTCCTCCCTGGCCCAGAGCCCCCTCCGCGCCTCAATTTCAGCCATCTTCACGTGTCCTTGTGTTGTTTTTTCCACGAACACATCCAGGAGATTAAGAAAGTTGGAAAGGAACTGGGGATCGCCCCAACTGTCATCCGGGATGAGGAGCTGAAGACCCGGGGCTTTGGAGGTGGGTGGCCGTGAAGGCTCGTGGGACAGGCCCGGGCTGTCCCGTGGTAGGGGGCTGGGCGGCCCTGGGCCCTGGTGCATCTTCCCACTCTTCATCCTGCTCGTGACCCAAAGGAATCCAGCCCTGTCCAAGCCCTGCGCCAGGCCCTGGGAAGCCAAGCGTCTCTGGGGGAGAAGGAGGCAGCGATTCAGAGTCTGATTCAGATTCTGGAAGCTGCGGGGTCCAAGTCCTTCCCCCGCCCACTCCCTCTCTGGCCTCCTCTTGTGCCTCTGTCCTCACTCCCCCGGCCAGCTCAGCGGGGCCTTTCGGTTCCTCGAATACACAAGTTCCCATCCGCACCAGGGTCTTGTACTTACAACTCTCTGGAATTTTCCCCCAAGATACCCTCATGGGGCGTGGGCGGGGGTGCCCAAAACTGCACCTCCCAGCTCAGAGTCACGTCCTCTGAGAAGCCTCCCCAGTCACCAGGCCTTTCGCCCCATTGCCCAGGACAGCCTTGGGCGGACTGGCACCTGCAGGCTGAGGAGGGGCGGTCACTTTCTGTCCTCGGTGGCTGCAAATTGAATTACTCTAGGAGGCAGCAGCTGAAAGTGACGCTGTTTATCACCTGCAGTTCTGAGGGCGGCGGGCGTGGTTCAGCCAGGGGTGGGCCGGGCTCTTGGCCCTCTTGGGCCGCAGGGCATGCGCTTTGCCCAGGGCGGATGGCACAGGCCTGCCCAGGCCCGCAGTGCTCCCGGGAAGGCGCTCTCAGGTCTCTGAGCATGCTGGGGCAGCGGGAGTGCAGCCAGCTCTCCCCCTGACCTCGCCTGGGACCTAGTCTTCATTCTGCCTTCCCTTGAGGTTAGAAGTGAGACAGGGCCTGCCCGCCCGCCCTTGTGCGGGGGGGGGGGGCTCCACAAAGTCTTGAGGGCCCAGAGGAGGGTCCTGGGGGCCACAGCCTCATAAACCCACTACAAGTGGAGGGGGAGCCACTCCTGTGAAGAGGCCAGCCCGGAGGAGGTGATTGTGCGAGGGTCTCACGGCTCGGTAGGAGTTTGTCAGGCAACCATTCTTGGCCCTTGCTGGGGCCGCTGTGACTGTGGACTCTGCCCACAGCAGGCCCCGGTTTCCTGGAGAAATGGGCCGTGTAAATGCACAGCAAGGCAGAGGCTGAGGCCAGCTTGGAAAGGGAGGAGCGGTTTGGGAGTGCGAGGGCGCGGGGAGGGGAGCCAGCGTGGGCTGGAGTGGCCTTGAAGCGTTATCCAAAAATCACTTCATTCTGCAATCCTGTTCATTTCTCTCTGGGAATGATACAATATTTTTTCTCAGTAGGTTTTCTTGCCTAACAACACAGTGCATAGAATTCATTTGCAGTCCCGGAGCTTTGGAATTGATTTGCATTCCCGGATCCCACGCTGGCCAGGGGGCTGGAGAGGGGTTAGGGAGCTCAGGTTTGGACTGCACAGCTTCCAGGAGAAATATCTGCAAGCCGGCGTGAGAGCGCTGGGGTTTCCAGGAGGCTGCTTGGGGGGCCCTCTGCTCTGTCCAACCCGAGTCTAACCCTCTCCCTGCACTCCCCCTAGGAATCTATGGTGTTGGCAAAGCCGCCCTGCACCCCCCAGCTCTGGCCGTCCTCAGCCACACCCCAGACGGAGCCACCCAGACCATTGCGTGGGTGGGCAAAGGCATCGTGTATGACACCGGGGGGCTCAGCATCAAAGGGAAGGTGAGGTGCCGGCCGTTGGTGGGGAGGGCAGGACCCAGCTTGCCAATTCCCGAGGCATGGGGAAGACCACCGTTTTGGGGAGCTGGTGTTGGGTGTGCCTGCAGGAGGCCGACTCAGGAAGAGAGTTGGCGGCCTCTGTTCCCCTTCCAAGTGTGAGAGGTTTTCATGCTCACATTTTAAGCAAGAGTCAGGAAGCAACACACCTGGGCCGGAGCCGGAGGAGGAAAGCAGCAGAGACGATGAGGGGGCTGGAAGGAAGGATGGGGGAGGGGCGGGATCAGCCAGGAGCCTGGGGAACAGGTCTGGAGGAGAGATACCGCGGGGCACGATTCCTCCGTCTCCACATCCAGGTTCCACACAGAGAGTGTGGCGGGGCCACATGGAGTGCTAGGAAAGCAGGTGCCCGGGGACTCGGACCCACCTGGGAGCATTGCGCCCAGCAGACTACCTGGGGATGTGCAGGGAGGTGGGCCCAGGAGTCTCCTGTGGGTGGCCAGTAAAGCTCGGCTGCATCGGGAGATGACGCTTCAGGAGCACCAGCGGACCTCTGTCTGCCCTTCCCAGCACCCGCAATGGAAGGAGCGGGCTGGCTTCTGCCCATCCCCGCACTGCCCAGGCCTGGTGGCTGCAAGGGGCAAAGGCTGGGAAGTCCCAGGAAGGAGCACACGTGAAACTTAAGCCCCAGGAGATCTGGAGGAGAGGAATCGACCGTCCAGGGAGAAAGCTCTAGAAGGGAGATCACACACTGAGCACGTGCCGAGCAAACCTAAATCCCGGCCGCCACATGGCTCACAGATGTGTCCTGTTGGTCCACTTGGTGTTTAAAATTTGAATTAGTCACCAACATTTGAAAACAGGAAGAATTCTCACAAAAGACTGAATTTCTGACCTTGTGTAAACTCAGGAGATCTGACTGTGCAGGTCCTGCATTACTCCTGGCAATATTCTATTGGGGTGGTGGCACTGTCCCTAGGGAGGTAGTCACACCCTCACGTGTGGCCCTCCCATGTGCCGCAGGCCCCACCACTCCCTATTGTCGCTCTGGTTTTGCGTCCCCATGTAGGGTAGGGGTTGGGCTGCTATTTTTGCATTTGTAGCCTATCCAGTGTATTTGGTGGTACCTAGAGGGCAAGATCTTCTTTTTAACAATCTCTCCTTTAAAAAACAAAATAATTTTCAGGACTAATTAGGAGATGAAACTAATAATAATGAAGGTCTTAAAAAAAAAACAACACTGATCGTGAACACTCTCTTTTATTGAATTCCGTACATATTGTCATACCATTAAAAAAATTAAAAAGAAAATAAACATTACAGTACAAATAAAGAAAGCAGTCCTGCATTACATTAATGTCGTTTAAACACTTTCAAGTGGCATTAACTTAATTTATTTTTAAATAGAAAAAACCCTTCTAGGATGGTCTGTTGTAATGGATGTTAGCATTATAATTGTTGTTTTCAAACCTTAGCTTCGGCAGATTTGTCAATGACTCTCAGAATTGATCTTCTTCACATATTTGTGTTGAACAGGTAGACTGGGTGTCAGCTCTGCCAATCTGGCCTCACGCCCAGTTGATCCAAAACACCATTAATTTTGATTCTGAAGCGTTTTCTGTCACGGGAAGCTACCTTGCACGGGTACTCAGGAAAGGCCTTTAACGTAACATAAGGATCCCTTGGCAGAGATTGCGCAGAATCCCACTTCCCAGGAAACTCTAGGGATTGTGGTGCTGTCCGCGCTTCTGTCCTTTGACAGTCATTGCAGCGACTTTTGAAGGGCAGCTGAGAACAAGGCGGCTGTTCAGAGACTGAGGGGGCCTGCAGGCTTTGCTTCGGGTCTACTGTTGGGAGGCAGGAACCCCCACGCCCCAGGTGCTTGCCACCTGCATCCAGAGCTGCCAGGACGGTCCCAGCCCCTTGGAACTGGCTCCGAAGCAAGTCGAGGCCCGAGCCTGTGGGGCCGGGCCTGCTGCGGTTGGCGGCAGCTCCCAGGGCCGTAAAGAATAATGTTTCTGGGCCTCCCCGGTGGCGCAGCGGTTGAGCGCTGGGTTGCGAAGCTGCCCGCGGCCTCTGCGGCGCCAGTTCGATCCCCGGCTGCTCCCCGGCCACGGGAGGAGGGTCCCACAAGGCGCGCAGACCTCTCCTGCCGCCCGCTGCTCCCCTCAGCAGTGTACTTCAGTCTGCCTGCTCTGCTCCCCGCTCTGGCTCTGGTGAATTCTCTCACCCTCCCGCGCTTCTGACTGTACCCAGTGCATGTATAAACAAATAAATAAATAAATAAAACATGCCTCTATAAAAAAAGTCCCCCATTCTCTTTAAAAAAAAAAAAAAAAGAATAATGTTTCTAAAAGAATAATTAAAATACATGCATTTACAGCTACATTTTTAGGGTTAGAACTCATTTCAACCAACAACAGACTTTCTTGGGAGGAATATTTTACCTCCGGCGTTGGGGTTTCCCAGCAAGTGAAGATGAGAGGAGGCAGACTGGCCTTTAGTCGGTTGGTTCTGGCTTTTAAGTTCTCCGCACGTGACTTGGCCCCTCCAGGTACTGCAGTGCTTGCTGCCCCACCGGCACCCCCGGAGGCTGGTAGAACTGTAGCCCCACCCTCCTGGGATAAGATGCTTGTTTTGGATGTGGGTTCGTTGGAGGACCAGAATGAGAACTGCACTTCCTGGCAATTAGTTATTTTTTGCAGGCTGCACTAGCTCCTAGTTTGCAGGAACAGTCACAGCTCCACGTCCAGATCCCAGGCCAGTACAGGTCGGGGTGAACCTGTGCTGTGGGTCTCCAGTCTGTCAGCCTCAGGCCCCCTAAAGGTGTTTTCTTAAAAGTATCAACCCCAGAGTTGCTTTGCTTATGAGTGTGGTGTCGACTGCTGTGACCCATACTAGAAATTAAAACTGAGACATTTTTAAAGATATTTATTATTTCATTTAAAAATAATAATGTAAACCCACTTCATGTTAATTTTATGGAAACTATTTTCCAAGATGAAAAAAACAAAAGAGAAGTATGGCATTGTTTCGCGTTGCTGCGAGGCTCCTGGTGCCCGCCTTTACTGGTGGGCAGTGGTGGTTGGCAGGCCTGCTCTGCCCACCATCTGCTGCCAGGTTGCGTTAGCTGAAATGCATCAGGAAAGTCTGGTGTGTAGCTGGAAGTGGAGCAGGCTTCAGTGCCCATTCGTGTGTCACAGCCCATTCTTTGCTATTACACCAAAACTTGACAAGTGTTGGTTTCTGGAAAGGCTGGTTCTGGTGTGGAAGCTGAGTCCCTGTCAGTGAACTTTTGTTCTGTTACGTTAAACTCTCCTGGTCCATCTGGAACTGTCCTGAACACATGATTTCAGAACATTCTGCTTCGGTTCTTTGGAAAATATCAGTCATGGGCTTATGTGGAACCTCCACATTTGATACATTTCATTGTATGACATTTTATTTTTTTAAAGATTTATTTTTGTCTATGCATCCAAGAATTGGGGTGTTAGACTAGAGGTTCTGGGGGTGAGAGGACTCCCCAGAGACAGAGCGGGGAGCACAACAGGCAGATCTACTGAAATACACTGCTGAGGGGAGCAGCAGGCGAGACAGGAGAGGTCTGCTGTGCCATGTGAGGCAGCTCCCTGGCCGGGGATCGAACTCAGGCTTCAGTTTCTGCCGATAGCTTGATAGCGCTGAGACTTTAACCCCTGCACCACCAGGGCAGCCCCCAACTGACATACTTTAAAAGTTGCACTGGGTGATCCGCCATCATAACTCATGAAAAAACCTCACGGTGCCAAGAAGCAGAGGCCAGTTCTCCAAAGCGCTGATGTTTGCTTGGATGCTCTGGTCTCAAGCCAGCTGCCCTCCTGGAGGTGAGAGGTCACTCTGTTCATCTCAGAGAGGTGTCCAGACACTGGGTAACATCGCTGCTCCTTTGCTGTTCCCAGGGAGAGGCGGATTCCTGGAGCTCAGAACTGGTTGGCGTGTGCCTGCTTGCGCCAGAACCGCCGTCCCAGGAAAGGCCGGGGCTGGGGCTCTGGAGCACCTTCCACTGCCTCACACAAAATATTGAAAACAGCTGGACTCAAGGACTGAGTCTTAAGCTAGTCATGTTACTGGGAAAGGGAACTCTGGAGTGAAATTGGCAGCACTTGGCTTTCCCGGAGGGCTGGAAATGAACCCGCGGCTGGCCGGTCCCTAGCGCCCCTCGACTCCGGCCGCTTTGGCCGCGGTGGCACCGGTGTCAGCCCCGAGCGAGAGGCAGGGGACGTCTTAGCATTGCTGTGGAGATGGCTTCTTTTGTCAAAAGAGGGACAGCACGGGCTCTGCCCCGCTTGTCACCGTCATGGAGGTAGACGCGCGTTCGGCGTCGTCGCCCGGGGCCGGGCACAGCGGTGGTGGTGGTGGTCTCGAGCCAGTGTCTGCGTGGACATTTTGCAAATGGTTTGACTGTGGATCTGAGGCTTCATTTTTTTTCTGTTGAAACAATCCTGTGCTTTCTCACAGATTAGCTCAAAGAGACAACTTACTTTCAATAGAGCTCCTTGGGCCGTTTTCACTCTACTTAATTGTAAAAGCAGCTCAGTCTATGTCTAAAAACACTTTCTGTTAAAACTTGAAGCTCGTGTCATCTGACAAGGGTTCAGAAAACCACTGGGTACATTTCAAACCAAAGTCTTCCAGCTGGTGACCTCTTGTTAATTTAAAATATGAACTTGTCAATTAGAGTTGAGAACCTATAAAACGTAAGAATATGTGGCCACTCTCAACCAGTTTATAGGAAGTGACGTTTACGCAGGAGGGCACCTCTGTTTCCAGACCTGTCTGACCCAGGAGGGGTGGCGGGCAGGTGTCCCCGAGGTGGGGTGGGGTTGGTGACAGGGTGGTAGGGAGAGTGGGCGTGAGCCCGACTGGATTGTCCGGGATGGTGACGGGGAGTAGAGAGCCCGGACCAAGAGGGGCTGAGGCTGGGGGCGGCTCAAGGCCAGAACCAGCATGGGGCCGGCGGGGCAGTCTCTGCTGCGGGGAGGTGGTCCTGGTGGACACCCACATGGCGGAGACTGGAGCTTCGTGTGTTGTGACGAGGGACACGGCCTGACCCAACCTTCCAGAAGGGCAGTGGGCAGGGAAGGGAGGTGGCCGAGGAGGCAGAGTGGGGGTAAAGGGCAACTTGGCCTTGGAGCCAGGGTGGCGATGTCCCTATGAGAACCCAGTCACAGGGACGGGCCTCCCGGGGCCTCCCACCTGGCACAGTTACATTGGGTAACCTTAGGGGGGTAACCCCCTGAGCCTCTGCTTGAGCACATGGGATCCACGGTCTTTGGCCACCACTTCTGCTGCCCCAGAAGAGCACCCGTCTGACCCTTCCTGTGCTGCCTGGCTCTGTGGGTTCTGAGGGGGGCCTGCCTGAGGGGGCCCTGATGGGACAGGCAGGGTGGGTGGGACTGTCCTGACCTGGTCAGCATCGTCTGCTTACCCCTGCAGACCACCATGCCGGGCATGAAGAGGGACTGCGGTGGAGCCGCGGCCATCCTGGGGGCCTTCAGAGCTGCCATCAAGCAGGTGAGTGTCCGCACGCCCTGCCCTGCCTGTTTGGTGCATATTTGTCAGCACAGATGTTGGGTTTGGGCTTCAGAAAACTAATTTAAGGCTGAGATTTGCCTGAGGCCGAGCCCTCAGGTCTTGTTTCCGTGTGGCCTCTTAGAACTCGGGGTTTGTGCAGGGAGGGACACTGACCACCGGCCACAGTGTGGACGAGGAGCAGGGTCCGAGCAGGCTGAGCTGCCGGGCAGCTGCCCCCCCTGCAGTCCTGATGGGCGCATGTGTGACCGGTGGCAGGGTCACCCCCAATAGGGTGAGCCTTGACCTGAGAGCCCCGTGGGAACGCTGGGGGAGCCGGGAAGCACTGTCCTCTGCTCCCTCGAGCTCTGTTGTCTGTCTGCCGCTGCTGTCGGGTTGGGATGGGGTTCCCAGCCCATCCCTCCTCTGCCTACCACCGACCTGTAACTGAAGCCTCTGCCCCGCGTCCCCAGGGTTTCAAAGACAACCTCCACGCTGTGTTCTGCCTGGCCGAGAACTCCGTGGGACCCAATGCCACGAGACCTGACGACATTCACATGCTGTACTCAGGAAAGTAAGGCCACCCCGCCCTCGCCTGCTCGCTGCCCCAGCTGCCCGGCCCCGGGCTCGTCCCTGCTCACCCCAGCCAGACACAGGCCCTGCTGGGCGGACCCCAGGGGCAGGAGGCCCTGGGTGACAGGGGGCCCTGGGCAGCAGGCTGCCTGCTCCCAGGGGTGCCCAGGAGTGCCCTGGGGCTCCGGAAGCAGGGGACCTCACGTCCCGTGTCATGGAACCACAAGTTGGGCCCCATGGTGCTTGACTCAGAGCTGGGATCCGCCCTGCATTAGGCAGACACCCCTTCCCAACCTTCAGGCTGAGCGTTCTTGGGTTCCAGAAACTCCATTCCCCCAGACATCCCCTCAGTCCCAACTTGGGGGCCCTCCCCGCGTCTCGCCCTTGAGGTCAGCCCTGAGATTGCCTCCTCGCAGCTGCGAAGTTCTCATTTGAAGGTCACAACTGGCGGCAGCTGGAGGAGCAGGTGGCCCAGGGTTCAGAATAGGTGAGGCGTCCCTCCTCTATAAACACATGTGAGTGCGGCTGCACACATGCACACACATGTGCACACACGTGCACACACACACACAAGTGCCAGTCCTTGGGGGCCCACAAGGTGCACTTCTTGGTGCCAACCCCTGGCCAGGCACTGTGTGCCGGGAGCCCCGCCCAGTTCCCGCCACCACATCGCCCTTCTCGAGGATGGAGAAACAGGCCAGCCAGCTGGGCACAGCCCCAGCTCCCTGTTGAGCGCAGAGGGCTGGTCCGCCCCCTTCGCCCTCACCCTGGCACTGCTGTGCCACCGGGAAGAGGACGCTGCAGGGGCGAGGGGCAGCAAAGGGGGTCTCGTGAGTTCTGAGGGGCCTCCATCCTTCCAGGACTGTGGAAATCAACAACACGGACGCCGAGGGCCGGCTGGTGCTGGCCGATGGCGTGTCCTACGCCTGCAAGGACCTGGGCGCTGACATCATCCTGGACATGGCCACGCTGACTGGAGCTCAGGTGGGCCCTTAGCTGCAGTCCCCAGAGCCTGACCCCACCTTGAGCCCAGTGGGAAGGGAGCTGCTGCCCCTGACCTTCACAGCCCAGCCAAGTAGCCCTTGGAGCCTGTGGCTGTGTCCTGCAGGTTTTGGGGGCCAGCCCTTGGCCGGGCCAGGACAGGAGGCCCCGCCCCGCCCTCCTGATCACAGTCCTGTTTCTCCCTCTGCCCCCCCCCCCCCGCCTCTGCGGTGGCTGCGTTTGCTGCCCTCCTCTCTGCCCCTCCTGCGTTCTGTCTCCCGCTCCTGCCGCTCCCTGCGGCTCTGGCTTGCCCTGGCCCTGCCGCGCTGCCTCCATGCCTGGCTCCCAGGGCATCGCCACGGGCAAGTACCACGCGGCAGTGCTCACCAACAGCGCCGAGTGGGAGGCGGCCTGCGTGACGGCCGGGAGGAAGTGCGGGGACCTGGTGCACCCCCTTGTCTACTGCCCCGAGCTGCACTTCAGCGAGTTCACCTCAGCCGTGGCCGACATGAAGAACTCGGTGGCGGTAGGTCTGGGGCCGCGCGTGGTGGGTCTGTCGGGGCTCCTGGGCGGACAAGACCCCCAGCGAGGCCTCTGCTCCCTATTTGCGGGAAAAGCACCCAAAGGGCCCACGTGCCTCTCCCTGGTCTGCAGCCCGGGCGTCCCCCCCACTCTGTTGTCAGCATCAGTTGACCCCCCTTGCGGTGGCTCCTCCCCAGCTCTCCCCTTTCCTGGGGTGAAGGTAGACCTCTACCCACAAGCCAGCAGGCCCCCGGCCCCCCTCAGCTGTCTCCTCCAGCGGAGCCCTCCCACGTGCAGGCCTTTCTCCCGGTGCATCAAAAGGCACGTGAGAGTCACGGCCAGCCGACTGGAGCACCCCGGAAAGGCGCCCTTAGTGGTGCGCCCCCACCCCCATGCCCCACTGCTGGGAGCAGAGGGTCACAGACCGCCCCTTCCAGGACCGGGACAACAGCCCCAGCTCCTGTGCTGGCCTCTTCATCGCCTCCCACATTGGTTTCGACTGGCCCGGGGTCTGGGTCCACCTGGACATCGCTGCTCCCGTGCACGCCGTGAGTCCGGTGCCCTGGGGGAGGCTCTCCTCCTGTGAGGGCTCTGCTGTGGCCGGCGGCCACCTGGTCTGCTCCCTGGGTCCCCCGCTGGCCTGGCAGCTCTCACCTCTCTGACCAGAGCCCCCCTGGCTCCGGGCTGCAGGCCGAGCTCATCGGCAGTGGGCGGTGGCCAGCGGGGCCCTGGCCTCCTGGGACAGAGAGACTGCTCTGCGGCCTGGGGCCCACAGAGACCCGGGGGCTCGAGTGGCACTCTCAGTCCACGCGGGAGGAGCTCACTGCACACTCCTTGGCCCTGAGTGTGGCAGGATGGTAGAAAGGGGGTCGGGTGGCGAAGGGGGGGCCCTTTCTGTGGTTGGGAGCTGCTCCCACAGAGGCGGGCTTGCTGAGGGTCTGTTTCCCTCGTCCTTTGCCCCCAGGGTGAACGTGCCACCGGCTTCGGGGTGGCCCTCCTGCTGGCGCTCTTTGGCCGGGCCTCCGATGACCCCCTGCTGAACTTGGTGTCCCCCCTCGGCTGTGAGGTGGACGTCCAGGAGGGAGACACAGAAAGGGACTCCAAGAGGCGCAGGCTGGTGTGAGGCCGCCCACCCTGGCCTGCAGGGCTAGTTACCTCACTTTGCACTGATTGATTTTAAGCAATTGTAAGATTATACCCTAAGAGGGGCTCTGGGTTATTTTAATTGTCACGGTGCTGGAAACAGCTCCTTCTTACATCTTAGAGGCCAGCTTCGGGCTTGGCAGGGCCCAGGGAGGGTTGGAGCATTGGGGTTTTTGTTCAGGGCCCTGCAGGCCTCCCCAGCTTTGGCAGCCTGCTCCCACCTGTGGTTCAGTAGCACCTTGGGGCCTGGAGTGCATGGGCCTCGCCTCCGCTTTGTGCCTGGGGTGTGTGTGCCTGTGGCGCTGTCTGCCCCGGCCCCCACAGGACGCCCTGACACCTAGGCCCTTGCTCACCAGTGCTGCCGCCTCGGCCGGCCTGCCAGCGCAGGGCACCAGCGTCTGGCCTGCCAGCGTAGGGCAGAGGTGACTTGTGTCCAAGGACCCGGTTTTGTGGAGCGAGCTTGGCGCTGTCGGAATTCACTGGGATTGAATTAAATAGAGCGGCACCATGCCACCCCTTCGGTCTGTCTCCTCCTTTCTCCCTCCCCTTCTGGGAAACCAACCCACGGCCTTGCTGTGGGTCCGAGGCCGCAGGCTGCTGCTGCCTTCTCCTAACCAGCTTCTGGCTTTGGACACAGCCTCCTTTATGGCAGCCTGCAGTTCTGGCGTGGGGAGGGGGCGGTGGGAGGACACAGAGGCTGGGCGGGAGTATTGGGGGACTGGGAAGGAAGAGCCCCCAACATGGAGGGCAGGTCTGGGGAGTGGAGGCCTGGGACCCTTGGTTCCAGCCGGCACGACCTGGCGTCTCAGTTTCCTGAGGGCTCACGGAGCAGGTGCCAGGGAGAAACACTGCGGCTCCCCATGACCAGGCCGTGGTCATGACCTCTAGGCACACTAGTGAGCTGTGACCACTGGGCCCGGAAGCCTCTCCAGCCACAATCCAAGGTGCTGAAAACTCAGAAACCAACTCTTGATTCCCCAGGGAGACCCGGCCCCCACAGCGCCTGGGCACCAGCGTCCTCCAGCGCGGGTCAGCAGAGGTAGCCTGTGTCCTCTCTGGTGCTCTGTGAAGGGGGTGGGGGTCTGTCTGGGCCCAGAGGGCCAGATATTGGGAACTCCAGCCCCACCTGACAGAGGGGGCTGCCCACGTCGCTTCTGCTGGGGACAGAGGGGTGCGAAGGCGGTTGTGGGACATGCCTCCTGGCCCATTAACCTCCTCACCCAGCCCATGGCTCCCCAGACGCCAAGTCTCCTCCTGTCATGGAAATCAAGGTGACTCTTTCTGGACTTGGTCTCAAGCAAATATTTATTAACTGCCTGCTGTGTGCGCAGCCCTGGCTGAGCCGGAAAAGCAAGAAGCGGCTCCGAGGCTCTGGCCGCTTCTGGGGAAACCATGGCCGGACACGTTAAATAGCAATAATAGTGGTCACGAGACGCTCAGTGGTTAACGGCCAAATGCACAGGAGACAGCGGGCTCCGTGAGCCGAGGGGGGCCGTCCGGAGGGCCCAGGAGCCTTCATGGGTCATTAGCTTGCTTAATGGCCTTGCAATAGGCAGCTCTCACCAGCTTCCCTGCTACATGCCCTGGAGGAGGGCAGAGGTCACAGAGGTGCTCTGGCTCCTTCTCTGCACAGCTGGCACTGTCCGCACCCCCCTCCGCCAGGGGGCCGCAGGATGCAGGGTCAAGGAGCAGGGGATGAACTGAGTCTCCCTTGTGTGGGCACAAAGGCAGCCTCAGGGCCTGGGCCCCAGCTGGGGACCAGCTGCAGGCTCAGGGCTGGCCTGCGTGCCCGGCATCGGGGGAACCGGGGGTGAGCCAAAGGCCTGGTTTTCCTCAGGACCCGCGGATGTGCCAGCTGCTTGCCCCTGCCCCACCGGAGCCCCAGCAACAGGGTCAGGGGGCGGTGGGCGAGGAGGGGCAGGTAGGCACTCCCGGGTCCACTTGATCATGGTCTCCGGTGAGCGGTAGAGGAAGATGAGCTTGGCGAAGAGCTGCTGCTCCAGCTCCAGCTCGCCCAGCTCACGCACCAGGAAGATGTCGGTGCAGAGCCGGTACACACGGTCCACGTTGGGCAGCTCTTCGTACATGATGGAGCGGGAGATGCCCAGGAACTGCTCCCGGATCATCTTGGCCGCCACCATCACCACCGACACATACAGCCCGACGATGCTGGGAAGGAGGCTAGGGGTCAGTACCATCCCGGCATGCCCCAGGCTCGTACAAGGGCTGGCCACCAACCTCTGGTGTGCGGGTCTGGGCTCCTGGCTCCCATGTGAGCCCGGAGCGGAGTAAACATCACCTTGCAGATAGCAGTGAGGGTCAGGAGGATGGAAATCTCTTTTGGGGGAAGGGGTACCAAGGGTGGGCAGAATTCTCAGCTTCCTGCTGGGAGCCAACAGCTTCTCCAGAGCCTGGCAAGTAGGTGGGGGGTGGGGAGCTCTCAATTCCGGGCAATCACTAGCAGCTGATCACCATCTTTGCCTTTCTAGGGTGTGGGCTCCCCACCCAGGACACTTTTGGGGAGGACAAAGGGCCCAGTGGTTCTGAATAGCCTGAGGCACAAGGGCTGTTCCTTACCCATATCCTGCCAGGAAGCCCAGGCTCTGGGGGCTGACTTTGTCACTGCAGACGAGCAGCTCCAGGTCCTGGCTACAGCCCTGACCCTGGTTACAGTTTGGCCTCCATTCCTGGACCACCCACCACTCGGCCTCCGCAGCCTTGAGCCCTTGTAGCCGCACCGTGATGTTGCGGAAGAAGGCCAGCTGGTCCACGTCCTTGGGCCTCTGGGAGTGGGCTGCGGGAGAGGGCCGTGGTCAATAGTGCCCTGGGAGAGGGACTCCAACTCAGATCCCTGGGACTGAGGTAAGAGCCCATCCAGAAGGGCCAGTGAGTGTCAACAGAGGTGGCGATAAGACGAGGGCTGAGGTGTGAGGCTCCAGATGTCAGCAGGCCAGGGAAGGACAGGACGTTCAGGGGTGCAACTGATCGTCACCTGCTTTTAGGTAAACAAGGAGGGCCCTAAAATGGCCCAGATCTCAGTCTCAACACCTGCTCACCCCAGGACCATAGAGCCGTGGGGACCCCCATCCACTCTGCTCCCTGTGGCCTTGGCTCCAGTAAGCCAGTGTCCTACAGGCCAACAGCATGACCTCGCATACCAGTCTGTGGAGTTTGTGCTGCACGTGAGGTCCCCGCTGGCCACACCCTCTCCTTCAGCACAGTTGTGAGGTGGGTTGTCAGTGGATGCAGAGTTAAAAACAGCCCTTCCAAATGTACCTGCCTGCCTCCCATCCCAGGTCACCAAAACCCACTGACTCCCCTACACCCACCGCATCCTCAGCTACGTCACTTCACCTGTCTATGCCACCAAGAATGAGTTCTAAGAAGGGAATGAAGCAGGATGAAATCACTTCTACGTGGGGAGTAGTGATGGGTGTTGAGCCAGCTCAGAAACTCCACCCACCTCACTGCGGCAGTAAACTACTCCAATGCCACCACGGGGGGGGGCTAGTTGGCCCCCGTCATCCAGAAAACTGCCCCTGTCCTACTATAGGCAATGCAGCCTCTACTCAGGGCCTAAAGGCACCTGTCCTTCCTACCCTGCTAAGGGCCCCCCACCTGTAAGCCCCCCCAGCCAACTACCAGCAGCGCTTTAATGGCCCAGCCTTTGCTCTCTGCCTGGAAGGATGCTACTAGTGCATGCTGGCGCAGCCCCTAAAAGTGCTGGGGCCCCCACATGAGCACATCTGTGACCCCAGCTGCCCCTCCCCCCATGCATGTTTGTTGAATTTGGATTGGCTGAGTGATTCTCTGCTCTGAGCCTTCCCTGTTCAGACTGTGTTCCCTGGTGAATTGATGTTCTGCGTTTTTGTTTGTTTGTTTGTTCTTTAACAAAAGGTTGTTTTGGTTTGAGATTCAGCAAAAACACATGCTGCATTCAGCTTCCTCTCCATTCAGGATTCAGTAAATTAGTTGTTTTTCAGTCTGCTTCAAGTCCTTGCCTCAAATGAGCCTCCAACAAGATAATGCATTTAAAAGCCCTTGGAAAAGTACCAGGCCCTACGCACATGAGATATTGTCATCATGCGAGCGGCTGGCTGAGCCCCGCACCCAAGCCAGGCTCTACTCCTGGAGAACTAGCCCCGGCAGAAGTCCTTGCACATGGCCCATGGATAGGGCTTCGGAGGGTGAGGGGTTGCCTTCATGCCCCACCCTGCTGCTGTGGGTTCCCAAAGCCCAGGACGTCCCTCCCCACTGACAGCTCAGTCCCAGCCTTCCCCCAGAAGAAGGGAGGAGGGGGACAGGGATGTGCGAGCAGAATCCAGGCAAGCCAGTGCCCCTCAATGAATGGAAAGGATCTTTACCGACATTCAGCTGGCGGGCAATCTTTGCTTCTGTCCCTGCTGTAGTCCTGAGTACTTTGGGGATCAGTCCACGGAGCATTCTTCAGACAGGAAAACAAAAACAAACCCCCCAAAGTTGAAAAGCTCAGAGGTTTTAGCCTCGCCATTACATGAGGTGGTCTCCAGCTGCAACTAGGCCACAACTACGCATTCCTACTGGCCGTGTGGGACACTCCACGTGGCTCACCCCTTCCGCCCCGCCGCCTCAGCAGGTTTCTGCCGACTCCGTAAGCAGAGCTCTCTTTAACTCTTTTCTTCCAAGAGTTTGGTGCTTGCCCCAGTGCAATGACGGTCTGACGGCAGCCTCCTCATCCAATGAGACTAGCCCCCCCCCCCCGCATGCCACCCCGCCTCGGCCGTGCCGCGAGGGCCCGGAGGGCACTTACACAGGCTCCGTCCGGGCGTGGGTCAGCATCTGCACCAGATGGTCGCGCGTCTCCTTGTCTGTGTAATGCACTGTGCGGTCGCCCGAGGCTTCCACGTTCTCGACCAGGGACACGTTCCTGAAGGGCAGAGGAAAGTCAGAGCAGACATCCCGGGAAACAAGCTTGGCCGCGGGGGGCCCTGTGGGCCCAGCTTCCCTGCCCACGGCCCGCCGTGCCCACCCGGCCCCAGGGCGCGCTGCGTGGCCTTGCCTACGATCTCAGGGTCGCTCGGGCCCGAGGCTGGAGGACAGGGTGGCCAAGGCGAACCTGCCGTCGGGGGAGGCAGAAGCGCTTCGCCAGGGCGCACCCGCCCCTGGCCTCGGCCCCGGCCCCAACCCCACCCGGACCTCGCCGGCCGGGCAGCGCCGCACGTGGGCGCCGCGCCGGAAGGGGCGGCCTCTGGGGCCTCGGCCCCGCCTCTTCCGGTCCTCGCAGAGGCTGCCGGGAAGGCCTCGGGCCCGACGTGCGACGCGCGACGGCGGCTGGTGACGTCCCTCGGGCGCGGGGCCGCGGCTGTGACGACCCGGGCGCCGCGCCTCATGGCGGCCGAGCGCCGAGCTCGAGGATCCGGACAGGAGGCTGGAGGGCCCCGGGGGGCCCGGCCTTGCCCCGCGGAGAGGTGCAGCGCGGGCCGGCGGCCGCTCCCGCTCGGTAAGGACCCGGCCTCGGGGCGCTGCGGGACGCGGAAGTGACGCCCGCTCCCCTGGACGCCGGGGGGCTGGGGTGCGGGGGGGAGGGGAGAGCGTTGGGGGGGCACCCCGGGGGCAGAGGTCCTGGGGCGCGGGGCTCGACTGGGAAGGAAGGAAGGGGGTGGGCAGGGCCGAGCCCGGAAGGTTGCAGCCGCCGGGGGTTGCCCAGACCAGAGCCGGGCACTTCCACCGTGAAGGGCCGCGGTTGGCACCGCCGGCCTCCGTCGTGGCGCACGCTGCCCGCCCGCGCGCCCTCTCTGCTCGCTCGGGAGGATTCGGAGCCCAGTGGGCCCGAGGCTGTGAGGGAGGGCCCGGGGGACCACAGCCTGTGGCCCTAAAAGCCAAGCCCCACGAGGCGACGCCGCACTCCCGCCTCCTGGCCTCTCCCCCGGGGCGCTTATGCCGTGGCCGCGCGGCTCTGCCACCTCCTGACGGTGTGCCCGCGCCCCGAGCTTCCACCCGGCCCCTTCTTGGGCACAGCGGAGACATGGCTCTGGAGTTCAGCGTCCAGGAGGTTATGAGGGGCTGTGAGGGTCAGAACAGCGTGAGTGGTCATGGGAAACCCAGCTCGCAAGTAGAAACTCTTAACAAATGTGAAAAAAAAAAGCCCAACTGTTTGCAGATACTGGCGAGTCCCCGCACACTCTACACGCTGCAAGGGCTGAGCCTTGAAAGGAGGCATGAGCGGTGCGTGGTCATGTGATTCTCTCAGGTGATTGAGGACGCCCGAGTGCTTAGTGCAGGGGCACCGGAATCTAACAGAAAGCCACAGTCTTGCCGGCTGAAATGTGAAAGAATGAAGTTCAGGCTCTTGAGCACATAGGAAATCATGGTGGCGGGGAGCGGGGCCTGCAGGGAAAGCACCAAGTGTGTTTGACATCCCCTGAATTGTCACCTTTCCTCTGTTTCCCACCATAATGGAGTGGAATGGACTGGATTTACCCCACTGCCTTAAACAAATAAGAAAATAAGACAGCTATGAATAAAGCAATGGTTTTCAGACACTGACAGGCGGCAGCACAGAAGAGTGATTCCTGAGAGAAAGGAGGCCAGTATGGTGGGCCCTCCAGCTGCCCCAGCTCACTGCCTGAGAGGGTTCAGGCTGCGGAACAGGAAGGAGGAAACCGATGAGAGCCTGGTGGTGTTCCTGAGTTGAAGGAACAAAGCTGAGGACCCAGGAAGGCCAAGGCAACTGGAGTGTGCAGCACACAGAACTTCCCAGACAGAAACAAATCCAAAGACCTGCACAGGAGTTCCTTGTCTTCCTGGGGAGTGCTGCTAAGCACAGGCATGTGGGTACTCTGCCCAGGCTGAAGCAGAGGGTGCAGTGAGTACCACACAGCACTGGGCAGGTCCATTCTCAGAGGCAAGGACCTCGGTGCTGAACTACTGTACACACCACATTCACATCCACACTGACCTGGAGAGAATGTGCCTTGGGCATATGCTAACAGCATAGCCCAAACTTGGGAGACTCAACTGGCAGAGGAACCACTGCCTATAAGAGGGAAAGCACTGGCAGTGTGATCCAACTGGGTAGACTGACTGTTAAAACAGAAGGACAGTGGAGGTGGGGAGTGGAGAAGGGGAGAGATGAAGAAACGAGGGGGGATTACTAGAGGGAAGGATGGGAGAGAAGTAGAGGAGGAGAAAGAAGAAGTAAAACTTTGTCAGCATATTTTAGGAGGATCCAGTCTTTTCACATAATCACAACAAACAAAAATGTCCACGATAAATAACCAACATCATTTGGCAACCAAAAACCAGAAAAATCTGACCAAATCTTGAAGGAGAAGGCATTCTAAAGATGCCAACTCTGAGACGATCCAGATGTTAGAATTGTCAGACAACAGACTCTTACAACAGCTGTTCTAATTATCCTTCATGAGGTAAAGCTGAACAATCTTGAAATGAATGGAAAAGTAGAAGTCTTGGCAAAGAAAGCTAAGCTCTAACAAAGAATTGCTAACTACAGTGTGGTATATGGGATTGGGTTTTGGAATAGACAGAAGGGTCTTAGTATGAAGATAGGTGAAATCTGAATAAAGCCTGGATTTTAGTTAATGGTAATGACTAGTGTTGGCTTCTTAACTTGATAAACATACCATGGTACCTGGTTATGTAAAACATTACCATGGGGAGGGCCTCCCCAGTGGCGCAGCTGTTGAGCGCTGGGCTGCAAAGCTGCCCACAGCCTCTGCAGCGCCAGTTCAATCCCTGGCTACCAGTGAGGGTCCCACATGGCACGCAAACCTCTCCTGCCGTGCTCGCTGCTCCCCTCAGCAGTGTATTTCGTCATTCTGCCTGTTCTACTCTCTGCTCTGGCTCTGGTGAATTCTCTCACCCTCCCGTGCCTCTGACTGTACCCAGTGCTTGTATAAATAAATAAATAAATCTGCAAAAAATAAATAAAATAAAATAAAATAAAATAAAAAACATTACCATGGGGAAAACTACGTATGTGAACTGCTCCATATTTTTGCAAACTTTCCATAAATTGTTACAAAGTTTCATTAAAAAGAATCTAGCGAAACTTAAGACTGAGCAAGAGTATCTGAAATTAAAATTTCACTGTATAGATTAGTGAAATTCTTAGTCTATACAGTGTATTCCTTGAAAATACATCAGTAGAAATTAGAGTATCTGAAAAACTAAGAGAAAACAAACAATTTTTAAAAATGACCACCTCCGCAACTTGTTAAACAATATTAGAAGGTCTAGTACTCTTAACCATGGCAGTCCCTAAAAACAGATTAGTGTGGAGAAAAAGTTTAGACAATTTATTGTGAAATGATTTGCATACAAAAAGCTATAGCTGTTTAATTGTTAAATTACAGATTTTTGTAAGTTCTGAATTATAAAGTAGAGATAATTGATGTGTTTGGAGATAAGTGTACACTTGTCATACCATCGTTGCTATCAACGCCTTAGCCATTACCACCAAAAGTTTCCCTGATCCGTTTGTTTTTCTCTCCCTTTGTGGTAAGAGTACTTGGCCTGAGATCTGCCCATGGAGACTTTCAAGTACCCAATCCCGTGTACTTAGTCATACATAGATCCTACATTTTGCTGTGGATCTCCAGAACTTCTTTTGAATGATTCAAACATTCATTGTACTCGACAGAATCCCCAAAATTTTTGAAATAATAATTCTGAATCTTCCCAAATATGTCAAGAGACTTGACTTACAAGTTTAAAAGCTTACAGTACTCCAAACAGGATAAACGGAGAGAAAACCACACCAAGACTTGAATTGCTGAAAACCAAAGATAAAAAAAGTATTAAAAGCGGCCAGAAAAAATTACACCTAACAAGGAAGGAAACAATAAAGACTTTTTTCATCAGAAACAATGATGGTCAGAGGCAGGGAAACATTTGTAAATATTCTCCAAAAGAATTGTCAACTCAGAATTCTAAATGGAGCAAAGATATTTTTTAAGAATGAAGGCAAAATAAAGACATATTCAGAGGAAGAAAATTAAAAGAATGCCTCACCAGCCGACCTGCTCTAAAATATAATAAGATGGTTTTCAAACAAAAGGGAAATGTTAGCAGAATAAAACTTGCACCATCAGGAATGAAGAACAATAGAAAAAGGTAAATAGCTGGACAAATCAGTGGAATATTTTCTTAAATATGTATAACTTTAAAAATGAAACTTGATAACATTGTTGGAGGTAGATTTAATGCATATGACAATTATAGCAGAGAAGGTGACATAGAGAAGGTAAAGAATTTTATTATAATAAGGCTTCTATGTTTCACATGCAGTGGTAACATTAAACCAAACAGATTGTGAAAGATTAGGTATGTGTGATCCCTAAAGCAACTAAAAAGTAACAAAGAGATAGAGCCCCAAAGCCAGTAGACAAAGGAAAAATCATAAAATGGTAGACCTAAATTAAGCTGTAGCAATAATTGCATTAAATTTGAATGGTCTAAATACAGTAATTAAAAACAGATGTTGCTACATTGTATTAAAAGAAAAATAGGACTCAATTAGATGCTGTCTATAAGAAAAGCACCTAGAAGAGACGAGCAAGTTGGCCTGCAAGCCAAATACAGTGCGTGAACTATTGTAAAGAATGGTTTTTATGTATTTTTGAGGATTGTGAAAAAAGAAGAAACAAAGACTATGCATTCCTGAAAAAATTAAAAGTAGAATTACCATATGATCCAGCAATTCTGTTTCCTGGAATATACCCCCAAAGACTTGAAATCAGGGTCTCAAAGCTGTATTTGTATACCCATGAGCATAGCACCATTATTCACAACATGTGGAAGCAACCCTGCCATCCAGCAGTGATGAACAGACAAGATAAGCAAAATGTGGTATAGTCATGCAATGGGATGTCATTCAACTTTAAAAAGGAAGGAAATTCTGATACATACTACAACATGGATGAATCTGGAGGACATTATGCTAAGTGAAATGAGTTAATCACAACAAGATAGACAAATACCTCATGATTCCACATGTAGAGATACCTAAAGTAGTCAAGTCATAAGAGATAGAAAGTAAAATGGCACTTGCTAGATACTGGTGGAAAGGAGAGAATAGGGAGCTAGTATTTAACGGGAACATTTTCAGTTTTACAGATGAGTTCTGGAGATGGCTGGTGGTAATGGCATCATAATATGAATGTATTTGATACTACTGAGCAGTCACTCAGTGATTAGATGGCAAATTTATTTGATGTTTGTGTATTTTACGACAAAAAAGAATGGGGGGGGGGTAAGAATGCACATTATAATCCCTGGATCAAATACTAAAAACAGTTTTAGTTGCTGCATATTTTAAATCAAAATGGAATATTGAAAGTACTAAAAATTTTCTGTTACTCTTAAGTGAAGGTAAAAAATGAAAAA